TTTTATATTATAGAGAGAACATTATGGGATGTGGAGGCCGATCATAACGTATTGTTGGCCAAGATATTGGAAAATTGCTTCATCTTTTTAAATCAAGCGTGAGTTAAACAAATTCAAAAGTTTTTAGTCGGAGCAGTTTTATATTTCAAACTAATATGATTTATTTAAAAATTTTATTATTAAATTTTAGGATGGAAGAAGGAATTTTTGTGCAAAAGCAGAAACATTTTGGATTCTTAACACGACACTCTCACTTCATATGGCGTTTGTATTTCGCGTCCTGGGACCAATCACGCCAGGTTCTCTACAACAAATCGGAAGAAATCTTGTCCTGTGGTCCGAATTCAGATGTATCCCGGAATTTAAGAAAAAGTACATTAATTTCAATATCATTAAGCAACTGAAACATTTTTACAAAATTTTCCTGCCTTGATTTTCTCACTTATATTGCATTTAAAACTTATGAGCTCATAAAATGATTGCTATTTAAATGTGTGACCTTGCTATATCCCGAAAGGGCATATTAGGAATTCAATTACAAAATTCTCATGAAAATTCAATATATTCAATGAAGATTCAGTATAGATTCATTGATTATTGGAATTAAATAGCGACTAGTTTAAAAAATTATTAATAATAGGAAAATTCCGGCAATTCCGTCTGTTGCTTAGTAGCACAGTTCGGTTTATCATAAATATAGTTTATGTATAAATTATTTTGAATATATTAATAAATACTGCCATCTCTGATATCTACCGTAAACAATAAAAATTAAGGATTATTTATGTAAAAAAAATCTAGGTGTATCTATAGGCTAAATTAAAATATTAGAGTAATTTATTTTGGTCAACAATGATTATGTTGGAATTAAATAGTTTAACCTACTTTTAATTTTTTTTTCATTTCCTAAATTATTATTATGTCTGTAAATTAACTAGAACAAAAAAATTAAATAATGGCCCCAGGGGTTTTTGGCAATTTAATTTCTCATTTTATAATATGATATTTTTTAAAAAACAATTGGGAGCTAAGTGCTGTAACAGTCATTGTACGCGCCATTCTTACTAAAAATTTTTATAAAAAAAAAATATTTAAAAAATTCAACATTTATTCTAAAAATGTCAATCATTATTAATTCATTTTTGAAAAATAAATACCAAATTTAATACAACAATGTAGTAGGTCCCCAAACCACACAGTCCAAGACCATATACTAATTGAAAATTTATGCAACACAAAATATTAAATTTAATTATTCTGCGATTCAAGTTTTTTCGTTAATTTCTTAATTCCATATACAAACATTTAAACGCTACGAATATTGGACGCATTTTATTCATTTGCAAAAGTTTAAAATATTAGGAAGCATAAGATGCAAAGAAATTCGGTTCAAATATACGCGAAACAATGAAAAAATAATTTTAAAATTCTAATTTAATTATTTAATTTATTTCGTTCATTTTAGCTTGTTCTCGAAATTCTGAATTTAAATTGTTTGACAAGGGTATTTTTCTTATACTCGTATTTAGACATAAATTTTAAATTAATAGAATGAATACGAATGAAGTTTTCCTCTTCCCAAGGTCCCCGAATACACACTGAATTTCTTAAAATATGCATACTACAAAAAGAAAAAAAAAATTTTTTTACCTGAACAAAAGTTGAATTTCATGTCCATCTATTGTTAAAATGCAAAATTTTTGGAAAAAGAGGAGGAAAAGCAAAACAAAAATAAAATGAAAAGAAGAATGCAAAAAATTTTTGTCAAATTCAAAATACAAAACTTTTTTAAAAGGTCAATCACATTTTATAACTTATTTCGCTTTTAATAACGCCGAATATTTTTAATTCCTTTGTTAATTCTAAAACCATTGTTAATTATAATGAAGTTTGTTTCAGACCGTTGTTTATCATTGTGTAAATTTATGCTTTAATTTGTTAATCTTTCATTTGTATAAACCCACCTGTGTGAATTTGTACGAGTGTATGTTGTTGTTGTATAAACAACTACCATAATCATTAAATTAATTAAAGTTTCATATTCCAATAAAAGATTCATACGCATAATTAAAGCTTAAGAATGATGCGCGATGTATCTCAAAAACGGAAAGTGTTTCTATTGTGAGGTTAGTTAGTTAATTAGGGAGAGAAGGTGGTAATCCCAATGCTGCCACCCATTATTAGGAAACAAAAGACCCTTCGACATCTCTCCACAACACACTTCTTCCCGCTAAATCAATTCAAGTTACTTGGTAAAGCTGAGCAGATAACCCTCGGGCGTGCCCAAGAGCTTCTCCGATCAATCAAACCGTTATCCTCCGAAAAAGCTTCTTCTTCTCGAAATCAGAGCGTTAGGCTCGTTGAGCACGTGTTGTAGAAAATTATTTTAAATTTTAAAAGTTTACATATTTAATATAAAAATATTTACTCAAATTCAAAGAAATTCCGATATTAAAACCTCCATCCACCACACTTTATCATTTATGTTCTCAAATGTGTGTATGTGTGTACTCAAAAAACTTTTCTTTTAAATTTAGTCCTTGTATCACTTACTTACACCACACTGATAACAATGTAATAATATACAAAGTAATCAGAATTTTCAATATTTCAGTAAATTTTATTCAGTGGCAATATTTTGTGATCATTCTAAGTGACAACAACATTTCTATGCTATGACTAATATTTGTATATTATCCAAGATTAATATTTCACCATACACATAGCTGATACTTTAATAATAAGCTCAAACAGCTTATGAAGTCCAATAACCCGCGCAAAAATAAATAATAAATATTTGTAATAAAATATAAGAGTTAGACATTATAATAATAAATTTTAGAAATAATTATTAAGTAGCTAAACATCATTAAATATTACATACTAAATAACATTCTTATAACACATGCGCAAGAATAACAAAATAATTTTTATTTTATTTATTAGTTTTGGTTTTCAAAACACGCATAGATAATAAATGAACGCAACACTATAGGAAAATTTATTGGAAAAAAAATAGGAAAAATTAATTACTTAAATATATTTAAAAAAAATTGTTTTTAATAATTGAAAATTTTATTTTAAATATGATTTAAATGTCAAAACATAATATGAAAATTTATTGTAATTTTATGAAAATTTAATATGGAATGATACTAGATTCACAATAATTATTAAATAAATTTTTCAATTAAATTTAAAATTAAATAAATTAATAATTTTTAGACATCAATATGACTGCAATTAATATGACAATAAGAATACTCCACGTCTGTTTTACTCACAACAAAATAAATGTATTCACAATAGGAATTTACGCGGGAGTGGGTTGTGTCGGGTAACAATTACAAAAAAGGAAGTCGATGGAAGTCATTAAACAGCGTATATTAATCAACATATGTTATTCCAATCATAAACAAGAAATTGTGACTGAACAAGAGTTCCAAACAACAAGTTGTAGTTCTTATACTATGCTGTCAGTATTGAAACAACCAATAGACTATTCAATACCAAAGAATGATATATGAACCCAATAACAACGATGACATTTAGTCAAGGAAAATAATGAGGACAATTCATGAATCTAAGTCAAAACATATACTTATGTATAAAACAAAAAACGAGTTGAATTATAAGTATAGCTCTTAATAAGGAGTTGTGAGACGGGGAGAAAAAAATATGGTAAGTATTACACAAGTTAAAGAACTTTTTGTTAAATATTAATGATCTATAACCTAAACATCTCGTAGAACACCGGAATTTCTTAAGTTTCAACACATATAATTATACACATGATTAATAATAATGTAACTCAAAAGTGTTACCACCCGACAAGATTATCAAAACTCAAAATATGTATAAATTTTTGTCATGCGTTATGGATGCAAAAATCGCGCATTATAAAAACAATTTTATAATTTTTTGCATAAAATTTTTATGTGTCCTCAAAAGTGCATAATTTACAAGTTGAAATATTATATAAAAATATTAAATATTCTATAAAAAATTCCTATACTTAAAATTCAATTTATTTAATTCAATAATAATAATTTTTTTTTTATTTAAAAATTTTTATATTTTAAATTTTTCACACGTCTTATTTAAAAAAAAACAAAAGTCATAAAATTATTTTAAAATTTATTCAATGGTTAAGAAAATGCAAAAATTTTTATGGGCTATTTTTAAACGAAACTAATTTCCAAGCAAAAGACATCATTTTGCATTTGTCTATAAAATAATTGCAGTGTTATTGCCATTTCAACTCTCTCTAGACCTTCAATTCTCTAATTTGAGTAAATGCACTTAATTCATTAAGGTTACATTTAAAAATCTTTATTTTCGTCATTTGGATTCAATTTTAAAGAATGGAAAAATCAAAAATTTTAATTCGAACTTGTGAGCATGTGCAGTAAAACTAATAATTTTAGAATTTCATTATTAACATTCTCGACTATTCTAATAAACAATCTATTCAGAGAGGTGCCCAGTTATAGAGTTGAATCTACAATATGCAATGTTAATGAAATATTCATAGCTATGCTATATATACTAATATCTAAAATAGTTTTTAAACTGAAAAAGACGCGATTATTCATAAATAATATTTATGAAATTGCCTATTGTTCCCAAGTAAATAATTTACGGGAATAAATGAAAATGAAAATTTTAAAGAAGAACAACTCTTTAATGACTCTTTTGTTAAACTCCTTAGTATAGAAATTCTCATTTAAAATAAAACTTATAAGTATATTGAGGCATTCAAACATTTTCTTATACTTAATGGTAAATAAATTAGGTTGAATATTATAACAATAAAATTTTAATGTTGCCTGCAGGCGTCAATTTTGATCTTCTCGCACACAATTAAAATATGGTATGAATAATTTATATTGTAATTGTGATTTAAAAAATATAGAAAAATCATAAATATATTTAAATTATTTTACGATATTATTTTAAATTTAAATAATGGAAAAGTATGGTATTGTTCGTATACTTACCAAATTGCTAATATAACAGTGTTCCACAGGAAATTTTTCTTTAGTTATCCATAATAAATAACACAAGTTGAGGAAATTGTGTTTATGTGAACTTTTTAAACTTATTATTACAATATAGATTTTATTTCGAATTATAATTAAAATTAATATGCGTATACACTTATATAATTATTTTATAAATATTGTCTCTTTGTAGAGATATACTAAAGGATGCTGTAAATTATATATAGGAGTATAATAAGTAAATTTTTTTATATATAAGTTATTTGTATAATATTGAATATTATTAGGAAAAATAAACTAAAATTAATTTTATTAATTTTGAAAATTAAAAATTCGCTTAATTTTTATGTATTCATTTGCCTAGAGGCTATTTACTGCACAGGTTTACAATAAATATTTTTTTAAGCCGGGAAATAGATCGTTGATTTGGTACAAATTCACATACTCAATGTTATTTTATCCTATAACTACAATTAAACCAATTATTAAGTGAAGGGATTAAATGAAATTTTCGCCGAAAACACAATTTGCTTGAGCTTAACAAAAATATTATTAATTTCTTAATCTATTAACCCTTTCCGCCTATATTAATACAAATTGTTAGCAATTCGCGAAAATCAATTCTAATTTTAAAATATTTACCAAATTCTAATAAATAATATTATTTTAAAATTGCCAAAGATTGTAGAAATCGTAATGAGTAATATTAGAAATAATAATTATAAATCGAAATGGCGTTTGTTTTAACAGAAAATGTAGATACTAACTCCAACTTAGAATTTATAAATTTTACTAATTAACTTACTTGTACATTCATTTACGACACGAAAAATAAATTTCGTAAATTAATAAAAACTTAAATACGTGCAAAAATCATATGTTATCGTAAATTGATCGTATATGTATATAATAACGTATATAATATAGTATCGGAGTTGACAGTTTATTGGAAACAAATACTTAATATTTATTATCTATAATTATTGGTAATGTTTGGGTAAATCACTTTACATTTCCAATTTTCTTTTTGTAAATTGCGCCTGCTTGTTACAAATAAATATCGGCTTAGTTATTGAACTCCGCAAGAAAATTATATTTGAACAACACTATGGTGGTTCGTAATCGACAATCAATTGTTGGCGACGTGCCGATAAATTTTTTTTCGCACAAAACTTAAAAAACATGCTTAAATTCCATGAACTATTGCAAAAAATATTGAAAACGAAAACCTCGTAATAAAGGCAAAATATCTTTAATGGCTAAAAAGGCGGGATATTAATCATTCTCGTTTTTTTTTCTATATCGTACAGCAAATACATAAATATATATTTTTTATATGTATACAAAACTGTGATTACATAAATACTTCCTATTTGAAAACTTATCTAGTACACAAAAGAAAAACATACAATAATATTGTATAATAAGGGAATTAAAAATTCTTATAAAATTATTTAGGTGACTAGTGATGGAATAGCTTAGAAATAGGGAAAAGAGATAGAGAAAGAGAGAGAGAAAAAAAAAAACAATTTCTTAAATTAATTTTTTATTTATTTTTATTTTTTAATTTTTTTTTATTATTTATTCATGTTTAGATTAACACTTTCTCTATATCATCTCACTTTTCTTTTTAAATTTGTTATATGTTTTTTTTATTATTTTTTTTAATCTTCTATAAATTACGGTGCTTATTTATTGAATTTTCATTTCAATTTTTTTTTATAAAATTCTAGTATTAGTTTTATTTATTTCTTTTTATTTTAATTCTATTTTATATAGAGCACTTTAAATTAATTAAAATTTTATGTGTGCTTATAACAAATCAAAAATATTCTAACTGCATTAAAACTTTCAAAAGTACATTTGGTACACAGAACCACAGAAAGTAAAAAAAAAACAATAAAAGCAACAAGAAATAAAATAAAAGTGCAATAACGGTAAAATTATCTTTTCCTATTGACAAAACCGTAAGCAAAAAAACATAATCGTATTCGAAAAAAAAACATAAACAAAGACAATAAGTTCCGTTATAGCATTTAATTTTGAAAAATAGAAGAAGAAAATTAAAAATCGAAAAGAAATTGGACAAAAATTCTATTTTATTTTTTACAAAACTGATTTATAACAATCACTACACACACACATTAACTATAGAATGTCACTAACTTATAATATTAAAAAATATAGAGAAAACTAATACAAAAAAGCGGGGGAAAAAGAATTCAAAAAAATTAAATAAAAAAAAATAAATTCCCGAAAGTGGGAAATTCGAAATGCAAAAAAAAAATTTTTAATTTCTAATTATTTTGTTTTTTTTTTTATCTTTTCCCTTCATTATTATTATTTTATCTTACTTCCCCCCAAGAAGCACTCACATTAAAAATACTAATAATTATTTATTTTTTTTGAAAAACACTTGTATTTTCACAAAAATATTTTTTACTTATTTATTTATTTTATTTTTTTTTTTCCTTCTTGCTATAAAGATTGCGCTTTTAACTTGGTGAACGCTAAACGACAGACTGAAACAGGCATTTTACATTTAGAATGATGATACCAAACAAAACAATAAACCAAACCGAACCAAACCAACCACCCATAAAAGCAATCACCGTTTTTTTTTTTCTTTTTGTATTTCAAATAAAAAATGAAAAAAAAAAGAAATAAAATATCATCAACAACAGCAGCAGAAAAGTAGCACTAGCACTATACAATCAAGCAGCAGCATATACAACAAAAAAATACAACACAACACAAAATAAAAATAATGTTGAAGGCAAAATGTAGAAAAATAAATTGTGAAAAGCGAAAATATAATCAAACATTTATAAAAACAAAAAGAGAGAAGAAAAATATATTCAAAATAATAGCAACAGAAAAGCAACAATAATAATAATAACAAGACAACAGTAAAAGCAACGGCAACACACAACAAAAATTTCAAAATTGAAATAGAGAGAAAAAACAAGCAGTAAAACAAAATATTTAAAAAAAAATTCATACAATTTTTTGTATGAGAACATTTTTCTATAAACAACACTGAACACACTGATAAAATAAAAACAAAAACAGAATGTAAACAAGAAAAATTTGAAAAATTAAAAGAATAGAAGAAAAATAAGTAAAATGAGACAATAATCGAATCGTCTAGTGAGTAGTGGTGACTACAAAATCGTTCGTTTGGTCCCAAAACTTAAAATGTTGATTATTTTCTATTACAAAAATTGGCATACAACAGAACGATTTCAATTTAATTTTTTCCTCTCGATTATCAAGATTCAAAAAATCTAAATAAATAGAGCCTTTTTTTCTATAAAATATGTAGAAAAATAAAATAAATACAAATAGATAGTGTATTATAGAGGAGGTAAAGTAGTTTATATTCAAGTATTTTTGTTTTTTTATTCTTATAATAATATAAAGACTACAGAGAACGAGAATATTTTTATGATGTTCAATGTTGTATTTGATTTTGTATGATATACTTGTATAATACATGCATACATATTATAATGTTCGATACGACAATGTACAACAAAACAAACAACAGTTTGTTGTTATACAATATTATCATTATTAAGTTTTGTATGATGATAACGGGAATGAAATGAATGAAATGAAATTGATGGTGGGTGCTGTACTGAGAAATTTGAGAAACCGAAATGAGAATTTGATAATATTTTGTTGATAAAAAATTTTTTGTTTTTATTTTTGTGTTCATTTTCGCTTAATACATATTTGATTTTCCATACTGTTGCTATTTTTTTTTTTGTAATATTTCGCTTGGTTTTGCTATTTTAGAATAACCTTAAACTAACAAGGGAGTTTTTTTATTTGTAGTTTTTTTTTTGCTAATACGTTTTGTTAATTTTTCTAGTTTCGTTTTATATTCTCATTATTTTTTTTTTTTTTCCTATAAAATATATGAGTGTAGTATGAAATTCACTATCGCTGTTTAGTTTAGATTTTTTTTATTTTAAATTGCCGGTTGACTAAACATGATTGTATACACTTGTATATATTCCCAATAAGAATATAGATTTTAGATTTTTTATTTTTTAATAAAGTGAAATACATAGTTTAAGATAGGTTAGGGATTTTATATACATACATACTATATAGACCTTAGTTATGTTTGTAAGAATAATACGAGTTAAATTTGTATTGCAATGTTATAGAACCGATGTCGCCTCTACATGCAATTTTTAACAATATAATATTTTACCTGTATAATACAAGCGTGTGAATTTAAACATAGATACATGCACACATACCACAAGCATACTTATATTGCACTTGTATGTAATTCCAATTCCCGGTATAGTAGTTGATGTAGATATGGTGTAAAGAAATAGAAAATACAGTAAAATAACCATGTGATTTAATTGTTATTTTTCGATATTTAAGGTTAATATACTTTCATACATACCTGAATAAAAAATATTTTTGAGCTTACACACAAAGATTGTATGAATATAACAAAATCCAACATTGAACAAAATATTTTCCCTATACCCCACTTGTAATGATAAAATGATAGTGAGAGCATTTTGTGGTAGGTAGGTATTGCCCAAAAATGTTGTATTGTTGTAACAGCAAAGGAAAACCTCAAAACATGTACAATGTTTGATTGAATTTTTTTTTTTTGGTGATAATTGATGAATGATGATATTGAACATCAACAGAAAAATAATTGATATTGATGACGTTGTTGTCGTTGACGTTTTTGATAATGATGACGGTATATTGATTGAATAGTGATGATGATACTAATAATAGTAATAAAATAAAATATTTGTTAAGCTTTACTTTTTGAACATTTTATGTATGCTTGTATGAGCGTATGTGTGTTGGTTACCTACTCTATTATTACACATGCATAAACATTTGATGTTTTTTTTTGTTTTGATTACTTTAGTTGATTGCATATTGTATGTATGAATGTTATGCACATATCACACATAAAAAGAATCGATTGATATTTTGTTAACTTTTTTGTTTTGTTAACAAAAACGAACTTCAAGCGAAAAACAGAACAATGCAAAAAAAGATTAATTAAAGTTGCCGAACTGGAGGAAATGTTGTACGATGAATGCGAGGAATTTGTATGTCAAATTTTAACGTAGTTGGTTTTGAGACTCTATTCTTGGATTTAAGACACTTAAAATCGACAAAGCTGCTAAACATTACATCTGAATATCAATTGGAAAATTTTGTTGTTCATAAAATAATTATGTAATCATACATGTTTGACGCCTAGATGTAGGCTAAATAAAATTTTTAACTCAAAAACATTTTGGTAAGTATTCCAAAAATCTTCACTGTATTTAAAGTTATTAATTACATTTTTAGGTTCGTTAGTTTTTAATTTATTGGAAATAGAAAAACTATGACAAAGTCAGAGTTTTTGCCATCTTGCTGACGGATGTGAGAGATCCTGTAAAATGTTCTTTGTATTTTTTAATACGACATTCATAGCCAAAACAAAAGGCGGAAATGAATAGAAAATTGTTATACAAAAGAAAACATGGAGAGAAAAGGCTGATCCTACATGCTTAAACTACATTTTGAATAGCATTTAAGTAAAGAACTACCCACCTTTGTGTCTAACGATTAGGATAATCAACTAGACTTAACAAGACGCAAAATTTGTAAGTTATTCTATTCTTCAATTTTAATCGTTTGAATTTCAATATGGGAAAGCTTGTACTAAACCAAAATAGTTGATCAATAATTGAGCTCTTGAAAACATGGTTTGGTTACTCTAAAAATTTGATATTGATTATTTTGTTATATGCTGATGATATTGAATTTTCTACAGACATTAACTTTCGGATGCTGTGATTTTATTTTATTTCATGGTAAATTTATTTACAAAAACAAAACAACACACAATCAAAATGAAATTTGATGTTTTTTTTTCCTGTAGTGTCTGGAAACGTTTTTTTTTTCATATTTTGTTTTTATCATTATTGATATTGTTAAATTGCAAGGTGCATCTCTTTTATTTTTCTGCACCTACATAATATCAAGATATAGAAATGAAAATGAATATCATACACAAAAATTCATACGTACATACATGTATATCATACGTGTATATCATATAGCAATGGTGAATTCTTTAAAAAGAGCGATTGTTTTACAGATGAAATATTTTTATTGGAAATTAATTAAATTAGTAAGAAATCGTATATCGTTTACTCGATCAAATTCATAAGCAATACAATTCCCCATTTGATAATATTATGTAGATGCATGTATGCATGTAGTTGCAAGTTTTCGCTTAAAAATTGTTGCAACTATATTAGTTAGAACCAAATAATGTAGATTTATATTTGCATGCCTTGTCTCCCTGAAGAAAAAAATAATGTATTATATTGCTTATAAATTGGAGTTGGAGGGGATATGTTAAAATATTGTGGGAAGTGCAGCTTTTATGCCAACATTTTATTATATTGCCAAGTTAATTTAAACATTCCATTTAAATCACTCATTAATAAACAAATTTTTAACGGGGAATCACCTTTATTTTTTTTAATAATAAATTTTTAGGCTGTTTGTTTGAGTTGCCTTTGTGTATTATTACAAAAATAGTACTATATAATCAAAAAGGTGAAACAAAAGGTGAATTCAAAATCGTTTATGTACATTTTTTTTTTTTGGAACTCAGTCACAGAGTCTAATGGGCGTAATATCTATACATAATATATGTATTGGAACATTGATTTCGAAGAGAATTTATTTAAAATTAAAATGTTACAATTTATTTTAATATTCTTTGCTTCAAATATATAAAGATCAAAAATTTCAGAAAATCGAGGATATTGTGAAATCAAACCAAACACCATTTTATCTAACAATAATGTCAAATTAATCCAATACATATAGGTGCTTCTTTTATGGCTCCAAAACATTCTCCATATTATAATTCTTATAAAAAAGTATATTATAAATTTACCATTCCATTTCAGATGGAGCTATTTTATTATGAGGTGGATGTATATCATGACGGTGGAGCCGCTTCTAACATATTGGATTGTGTTGCGGGCGACAGGGCCACGCGTGTTGCATGCGTGTGCATTACACTTACCATGAAGATCTGCCCAATTATTGCAATAGGCCAAAATGTGACTCTCGATTTGTCACCGCTGCATTTGGTCATTGGGAATACAATCAACCTATGGTTTAATGGGAGATCTGGAGACGGGTAAGCTATCATCGGGTCAAAGGACCGCGAAGCCCTTTTTAGAAGGATTTCAATGTTGCGCCTACGACAGGATAATATGACTTGGAGGTACAGCTTTGAGAAAAATTTAATTTAAAAATTTAATCACAAAAGATAAGAGGGTCTTGGTTACCTATCCTATG